TAGACTTCTTTATAAATTCATACTGTGATATTCAGCTAACAATTCCAATAACAAATGCAGAGTATTTTGAGTCAACTTGCCGGAGAGAAGTGACAGTCTCGATTCAAGAAAAATTTATCAAGATGCAGGCAGAGAAATTCAGCCTCTCACTGTGCTGCAATGTTCACAGTTAGCCCATGAATTTCTCCCGCAGATTGTGTTTTCATATTTTTAAAACCCAAGTGCTTTTACATCTAATCATCATGTCACACTCAGCAGTCATACTTTAGAAGTATTTTCCCTTTAAAAGAGGCATTTTGTCAGATTTTAAATTTATGCGTGTGGTGAGCAGCATGAGAACAGTGGTACAATTTACCAGGCTCCTTTCCACATCAGTCTTCCATGGGTTTCAAATTAGTAGGTAACTATAAAGAAATGCTATCACTTTCTAGCAGGAGGAGTCATTTGTGGATAGAATACATGATGATAAACACATTAAGAGGACTATGGAGAAATATTTCCACACAAGGGAAGTATTAAGGAATGAGTGTCTAGCTTGAAGACATCCGTTTCTTTTTAATAACGTGTGGTAGACTTTTGTGTAGGAGGAATACTTACAAGATGAAATACCAGCCTTCATTCAAGATATGTCAAAGGACATGTTTTAAGCAAGTAGTCACAAATCTGTCTCCTCGTGGCTAGTGACTTCTATGAGCTCATTCTTCCTGTAAATACTCAGCAGAGTACCAGTTCAAGTACTGTATACTGAGTGAGAGAAAAGAACTGTACTGACTGAGAAAAAAAGAACGCAGAAGGAACTTTGATGCATACATGCTGTGATTACAGGGATCATTTTCTAAAGAAAACCAGTTTTCAGCCAAATTGTCTTCTGAGACCAGAGAGGGCTGCTGAAGAAAGGAAATTGCCGATTGAGTCAACTAGAATCAACAATTTCTCTATCTTGTTCCCAAGAAATCGATGCCTGTGAGTGTAATTTTTGGCTGTGAATTGTTACATGAGGTGTCCAGAAACTGTGATAGATGATACTAAGTATCAAAAGCAAGAAAGAAAAGATATTAATGGGATTTGTCATCTCATCTCCTTTTCCCTGGTGTTCAGGAGCTACTCGGCAAGGGCTTGCTGGGCCACATCTGTTTAGCATCACTGAGATCACGCTTGGGCTGTGCACACTGAACGTGTGAAACCTGCAGCTTGCAATCATCCACCCCATGATGGCTTTCTGGAGAGGTTTACACCTGTAGCATAACCAGGCAATCACTATTACAGCACTGCTTTGCTCGAATGTTCTCTTTCCAGAATTAGATTCATTTTTTTAAAAAATATATACATACATATATATAACCAGTAACAGAGAAGAAAAATACCTATGCTCTCCTTGTTCCATTTATAAATGATCAAGACATCTATGAAGAACATGTTCAGAGCCGAAGGGCATTCATTCTGCATGTGTGCACTGGTAACCATGGCTGCTTACATTGCAAACATCACCAGGCAGGAACAGGCATCGCTTTGTAAAAAACTTGGGAGCTTCTTTTAAATCACTCTTAATTCCCTGGATAGTCACAACCTATCAAACTTCAGGTTCCTGTGCAGACTGATTTGATATTTGTGCAGATGCTGTTTTTTACACATCTTCATAAGAAATAGGACTTGCCAAGGCTCATGCTCGTGTGTGTAGGGACCCTTCAACTCCAAAGGCTTTATTCCAATAACCAGATTAAGATAGAAAACAATGAAAATAGTACCTATGTTGCAAGGCAAATACTGCATAGGAGGGAGAGGAGAATGGGTTTTTAACGGCTTTCCTCTCAGGTACCCTGTTATTTTGCATATTTACAAATGTGTCACTTGTGTGGATGGCAAACCACTGCCTCCTAAGAGGTGGGGAATGTTGAAACTGCATTTCAAAAATACCTTAATCATTTCACACATCCGAAGTTTTCCTGTACCTTTACATACATGGAAAATCCTACTGCCTACAGAAGGATGCAGTAAGTTAGCTGGAAGATGCATCACATATTCCACTATTTTTAGACAATAATGTCCAAGCCCTATGAGTAACATTTCTACTTGCTCTGCTTGGCAAGTCTCTGGTGGAGTCTGGCGAAACAGGCCCTGGCCCTGCTTATTCACACCTTTGTCACCACTTGGCTGCGGGGCCGGAGCAGCAGCAACGTCACCGCACGGGCGTCTCGGACGGCGCGGAACCCAGAGCTGCTCCACCTCGCACTGGGTACCTAGCAGGGAGCACGCGCGCTGGGTGCTCTGCAAGTTTTAAATCTGTGCAAGGAATTACAAAATCCATACACCCCCGTGTATGAAACTGCTTCTTTCCTTAAAAATTGTTTTTGCTTGCAGAGAGCTTTTACCTGAAAAGGACAACAAGAAGTGCAACAGCAAATGATGCTTTGAGACGGAGTCTTTCATATTCCTATTTTCAAATATTTATATGAAAGACTTTTCAAAGTTACAATTTCTCCACATTCTCCATTGTCCTTTTTTACAGTCATCAGGGCTGCAACACTTGCATTAAATGATTTTCTTTAAAAACACAATTTCAGTTATGCAAAATCTGATGAAAAATCCCCTTTCAATCAGTTCTGCTTTCCCAAATATGCAAGTTCTAACCGTAGGAGTAATGCTGTGCTTTTGCGAGGGGAATGCATTGTTTTCCTCGGGTTTAATGCCACATATTTTAATGGTGAGGTTTTCATACCTCTGGAAAACATGCTCCAACATGTCCATTGACAAAACCCAAGCCTCTCTTGAGCGTCTACACTGCCCTCTGCTGGTTTTCTAACTGAAAACTCCCCCTAACAACAGTATTAACTAAAGGCTTTGGTTTCTGAAGAGGTATTTTCACTCCACCCATTGCTGCAAGGAATAATCCTGCTGTAGTGAGTCCTTTCTAACCAGGAATTGCCAAGGCTTCCTTTAAGGCACACATTGATTAATTTACACAGCCCTTCCAGCCAAGGACCGTCAACTCAAGCTTGTCATGAGGAGGACTTGCTGTCGCTGTCCTAACTGTTGAATGTTGCAGCTTTTATCAGAATGGAGAGTCCAGATCGACTGCCATGTTACGGGTAGTTACTGAGTGATGGGACAAACAGTGGCATTTCAGATGGAAGACTCTTGAAAGAGAAGGCAAAAATACTGAAATCTGGTAAAGCTGAGATCCAGTTGACTGTACTTTTGGCTCATTGTTGGTTCCTCATACTCTGTACTAAACAACAGGTAACCCTCCTAACTAGTTTCTTGGGAATTGCTTTAGAGTTGTGTTAGAGCAACTCCCAATTTTGGTTGTGGGAGGTCCTGATGGTAAGATACCCATGTGTCCAGAGGCGCCCTTAGCATGTGTTTGGGATCTGGACTTGAAATTTAAAGGAGCTTGGGAACTAATAATTGAGCTAATAGTTGAGCAAGGTCCCCAACAACTTTTATTGGAAAAAGTTTTTCTCATTTGCAGATGGCAACCTGAGCACTGTTGAGGTAGATGCACATATTAAACATCCACAGCCAGGGACAGATAACATTGGAATAGAGATATGATTTTTTTTTAAGATGTTCATAGATGCTTTTCTGTTTGTAAAAATATACTAGTGTAACCCTGAAGTTCCACCTCTCTAACCTGCAAGCTGAAAGGCAGCATGTGCCTCTCAAAATGATAAATAAAAACCACAGTCTTGAAGGAGGGTGATTTTTCAAAGCCTCAGGACATTTGCTTTTCCCAGGGCTGGGATACTGACACCCCTCTTTTTTGGCTTCTTTTCAGCCAAGCACGTAGTTTGTCCAACCAGCACATTCGTGAACGGCACCCTGTGCTTTGGACAGTCGTCCAAGCCAAGTTTGACATGTTTGTTGTGCAGCAGCCTGGCCCTTTTCCTGGTGAACCTTGTTCTAGGCAATCACGAGCCCTTCTGTACACACTGCACAATTTGGGGACTAACCTGCGACTCCTACTTGGTGCGTGGCGTACCCTGGCAGCCTGCTGGGCCCTTCTCCTAACCACAGCGTCAGCGTGCAGGAGTCGGACTCGGCATGGTGAAAAGCAAAGCCTTGCAAGGCAGCCGTGGCTATAAGCCTGCTCTGGAGGATGGGGACGTGCAGCCAGACAGCTACCCGGCCCTCCTCTCGCCACCGCCTCACCGCACCTGAAAGAGAGAGCGACACGGAGCTGCCCGCGCTATCCCAACGGCCGCCCAGGAGGAAGGCCAAGGCAACCCTCGCTCAGTGACCGCCCTTCCCCGCGCTCCTGCTCCTTGGAGGCCTTCATGTCTGCCTAAAGGCAGGCGCACCAGACTCTGCACCCGGCCCTCGCTGGCTGCAAGGCCGGACAAGCGCGGCTGTCAGCAAGAGCGCGGCCATCCGCGGGAGCGCAGGGCGCGCCGCCCCC